TTTTTAAAAAAAAAAAAAAAAAAAAAGGAACAGGCCCCTCGGTGGAAAAGGTTACCTCCCGAGACTCTTCTTCCGATTCCCAGTCTCCTCATTCCTGGCCCGACGCGTCCTTCGAGATCCTCTGACTTGTAAAATGAACCTAGCACACGGGGCGTGCTCCCCAGGTGTCCGTGTGTCTGTCCTCGTATCCATGTACCTGTACCTATCATCTGTGTCTCTGATCTACCTACACAATTCAACAGCCCCCCTGTCCACTGATCCGTGCAGGACAGACGCCCTGCAGCCCCGCAAGGTAAGGACTCCTATTCTGGAGCTCCCGGGGGGCGGGGGGGCCTCTGGAAAAATGCTGGTGTCAGCTGGCCCCATCCAGTACTTGAGAACAGCACAGGGTTTGTGAAATCGGGAAAATACTTCCTTGTTATAAGAACGTGCTGCTGGTTGGAGAGCAGCGGGTTTACCGTGTCCGCGGTTTTGCCTTTTCTGGGACCGTCGCTGGAGCCACGGGGTGTGCAGCCACCTCACCCTGGCCTCTCTCACCTGGTCACATGCATCCGAGGGTCCTCCCTGTCCTTTCATGCCTCCAGAGCCCCTTTCTCTTTTTTTAAAAACTGATTTTGAGAGAGAAGGGAGAGAGATTTTTGCTCCCCTTCCTGATACTTTCATTGGTTGACTCCTGCTCATGACCTGACCCAGGATCGAACCCGTGACCTTGGCCTATGGGGAGGACGCTCTGACCCATCCGGCCAGGGCGCACCACCTCTGCTCCTGAGTCACCTTCCCCCTGGGCAAGGACGACACTGGACACTTCTGTCAAATGCTCAGTGTTTATTTGCCCCCCCGCCCCTTGTAGGCCCCGAGGTAGGACAGACATTCCAGAGCGAGTCGGGTCCTGTGACTCGGGTCCTGTGACTCGGGTCCTATGACTTGCCACCGCCCTCCACCCGAGGCCAGGCAATGACCGGGGTGTGTGGGACGTGCAAGGGCCGCCAGCAGCGGGGGCCCGGGGAGGGCCTCGGCCTCGGAACCGGGCACAGCAGGCCCCAGGCGCCGGTTGGCAAGGCCCCTCCGCCTGCCCCGCACTGGGGGAGGCCGGCCTGGCCTCAGCCCTCCCACCAGCAGCGCTCGCCCCGCTCGGAGCGATCCCAGCGGCCGTCGATCACCAGGCACGGCCGGCGTCGCTGGGCCTCCTCCAGCAGCCGCACGACTGGATCAGGGTATTGCCATTTCCACAGTCTGGGGAGGCAGAGGGCTCATGACCCCGCAGCTTGGTCCTACCCTTGTGCCTCCCTCCGAGTCCCGGGGACCCCCAGCAAGGTCGGAGCCCTCCTCTTTTTTATTTTTTCCATTGATTTTTAGAGAGTGGGAGAGAGGCACACACACAGATAGCGACTGGTTGCCTCCCACACACGTCCCCACCGAGGCTGGGGATAGAACCTGCGACCCAGGCACGTGCCCTTGACTGGGAACCGAACCCAGGACACTTGGTGCCCAGGCCGATGCTCCACACCGGCAGGGAGGCCATGTCCATCTTACTTGCTTCTCAGTGTAGTTGGGTGGCATTAAGCACATTCATATTGTTCTGCAACACTCACCACCACCCAGGCCCCTAAGCTCTTTTTATCTGGCCCAACAGAACTATGTGCCCAACACACAACAACATCCCCTTCTTCCCGGCCCCCCTGCCCCCACCGTTCTACTTCCTAGGCTGTGGATTTGAGCAGCCCGGGCACCTCACATGAGTAGGATTGTGCAGGATGTGTCTTGTTGTGTGTGGCTTATTTCACTCGGTACAATGTTCCCAGGGTTCAGCCGCAGTGTAGCACATGTCAGAACGCCCTTTTCAAGGCTGAGTAATATCCCACTGTATGGATGGGCTGCATTTTGCTTGTCCATTCACCTTTCCATGGGCACTAGGGTTGCTCCCACCTCTGGGCTACCGTGAACACAGGTGTGCGACTCTCTCCCCGAGCCCCTGCTGTTGGTACTTTTGGTTACATACCCAGAAATGGAGTTATTGGCTCAGACAGCAATCCTGTCTTTAGTTTTCTGAGGATAAACATTTCATGTGTGTGTTTTCTTTCCACTCTTCCCAAACCCACCCCAAAATAAGCCCCATGATATCAGCTCCTTGCCTCCGTCTCCCGTGGCCCTGGATCCCCAGCACCCAGGACACAGTGGGTATTATTGGTTGGGTCAAGTTCTGGTCGCTTGGCCACGATCTCCCCGTCCCTGATAACCCTCCTCTGCCAATAAGCATGTCTGTAAGAGGTGTGTGCCTCAGAAGACAACGGCCAGGGACTCACCCGATGACGCGCAGCTGAGACGTGGGATGTGCGAAGGCCGGGCACAGCTTCCTGATTCCTTTGGGGCTCAAAGGATTTCGCAGCAGGTTCAGGCTGCTCAGGTGCTGGTTGGAGAAGAGCGCCGAGGAGAGGGCCTCGCAGCCGTCGGACGTCAGCTCGCACGCCTCCAACCTGCAGGGCCGAAACTTAAGGAGTGACCCCAGAGGTCTTTTTTTTTTTTTTTCCACCCGAGGATATATTCTCTATTGCTTTTCAGAGAGAGTGGAAGGCGGAGAGAGAGAGAGAGAAACGTCGATGTGAGAGAGACACATTGATTGGTTGCCCCCTGCTTGCATGGGGATCGAGCCTGCAATCGAGGTACGTGCCCTTGGCTGGAATTGAACCCGGGGCCCTTCAGTCCTCAAGCCGATGCTCTAACCACTGAGCCAGACTGGCCAGGGCTGACTTCCATTTTCACAGTTTAAAAAGAAATAACAGAGCAGTGGGCTTCACCCCTCGAGTTTTTGGTTCAGTAGCTCTGGGGAAAGGCTAAAAACACCTGCATTTATTTTACATTTATATGTATACAAATTGATTTTAGAGAAAGAGGGAGAGGGAGAGGGGCAGAGATTGGTTGCCTCCGGCATGCACCCGACCGGGGCTGGGATTGAACCTACAACCCAGGTACGTGCCCTTGACCAGGAATTGACACTTTCACCACTGAGCCAAACTGCCTCTATCCCCCAAAAAGAAATGCATACCCATTAGGCAGCCCCTCCAGCCCGTCCCCATGATTTGCCCATCCTGGACATATCATACAAATGGATCATACAACATGTGGCCTTTGGTGACTGGCTTCATGCCACCCAGCCTCATGCTTTCAAGGTTCATCCACATCATAGCGTGTGTTGGTACACGTGGCTGAATTCCTTTTTCGTGGCTGAATAATATTCCAGTGGGTGCACCAGCACCATTTTAACAAGCCTCCTGGGCGATTCTGATGCTGACACTACGGTTGGAGAACCAACCAATGTCATTGCTGCCTCTTTGGTCCCTCAGGGCCTGGACTCAGCTCAAGCCNCCAGCACCATTTTAACAAGCCTCCTGGGCGATTCTGATGCTGACACTACGGTTGGAGAACCAACCAATGTCATTGCTGCCTCTTTGGTCCCTCTTTCTCTTAGGCTGTATATTCTGCAAACTACCTGCCTCGGTCCTGCCACCCCTTGGCACCATGCCCAGCACACACAGCTTGTCCAATAAACACATATCGAGTGCTTACTGCCTCCAGACAGCGTTCCCAAGGCCCGCCCTTTCACTCCCTCCATGCGCCGGAGCCCAGCTGGAAGGCTGCCTCGGGCTGCACTCTGTCTGATTGGACGGAATCGTGAAAGTCAGGGCCTGGACTCAGCTCAAGCGCGTCAGCTCGGACCCCCCTTCCTCTGCGCCCAGCCCTCAGAGGCGATCCCAGGCGCTCACCCGAGTCTCCTCAGGGAGGCCGTCCTTTGCTTCAGTCCCTCGCACAGGGCTGCCAGCCCACTGTCGCCCAGGGCGTTGGCAGCAAGGTCCAGGCTCCTCAGGTGTTTGCTTTTCGTGATTACATAGGACAGGTTCTTGCAGCAGGCGGCAGTGAGGTGGCATTTTACCAACCTGCAGAGGGAGACAGAGACAAAGAGATACAAGAAGCAACCAGTGAATGAGGGGAACAAGTTGATGTTTCCCTCTAAAATCAGTGGAGAAAAAATTATTATTACNGAGATACAAGAAGCAACCAGTGAATGAGGGGAACAAGTTGATGTTTCCCTCTAAAATCAGTGGAGAAAAAATTATTTTTTAAATGTTTTTTGATTGATTTCAGAGAGAAGGGGAGGAAGAGAGATAAACATCAATGACACATCATTCATTGATCGGCTGCCTCCCTCACGCCCCCTACTGGGGATCGAGCCTGCAACCTGGGCCTGGGCCCTGACCGGGAATCTGGCTAATAGGTTAGTGNCTGGGCCTGGGCCCTGACCGGGAATCTGGCTCATAGGTTAGCACTCAACCACTGAGCCACACTGGCCGGGCAGTGGGAAAATTTTTTTAAAGAAATAAAGAGCCAAAGATTAAGCTGGGGCAAGAGGACGTGCTCTGGGAAGTGAACGGGTTTGGGAGATCCGCTGACCCAGAGCTCCACGGGTCCTGCCATGCGGCTCCCGTGCAGAACGATTCTGACCTTCCCACACTCGATGTAATGCCGGCACATCAACTCACCTGCAGCTCCTGGCCCTGGAGCTAACTTTGGGGGTTCCAGTCCCCCTGCTCATGCCTCCTGACCTTCTAGGACCTCAGCCCCCACTCTGGTAGAGGTGACCCGCTCCCTGCCCCTCCCCGAAACCATGGGAAACTCACTCCAGGTCCTCGAGGTGACACGCTGCTTCCGCCATGACCTCACACAGAAGGTTCACGCCGTCATCTCCCAGGGGGTTCATGCTAAGGCTCAGATGCGTCAGATGTCGGTTGCCCATGAGTCCGAGCGCAAGAAAGCCACAGCCAATGACATCCAGGTGGCAATTCCTTAGCCTGTGGGGCACACGCAAGGGAAAGGGGACTCGGTGTCACCTTGGGTCGGTCGCTCCTCTTGGCCTCAGCTGCTCCTCATTTGGGAGGGGATTATGTTCGCACTAAGAAGGTTGTTGGGTGTAAGTGACGGATGACCTTGAAGTTCTTTGCACATGCTGGATACTATAACCCTCTCCCTTTTTTTTTTGTTTTGTTAATCCTCACTTGAGGATATTTTTTCCATTGTTTATCAGAGAGAGTGGAAGGGAGGGAGAGAGAAACAGCGATGTGAGAGAGACATCGATTGGTGGCCCCCCGCACACGCCCCGACGGGACTTTTCCAGCCTCTGCAGGCTGCTCCCTGTCCCCAGCCAGCGACGCCACATCTCCTCCGAATCTCCCGCCTCTTTCCCTCCCTTCTAAGAAAGCTGGTGATGACACTAGGGCTGGGCGGCTGACCCAGAGTCCCCTCCCCATCTCAACATCCTTCATCACATTTGCATTTTCCCTTTTGCCACGAAGGCCCTGTCATCACAGGTTCCAAGGATTAGGACACGGACATCTTTAGGGGGCAGTCGTCATTCTCACTCCAGCTCCCACACTCAGCATGTCTCCGTCACTCAGTTCCCGGGGACCCTCAGGATGCGTNCATTCTCACTCCAGCTCCCACACTCAGCATGTCTCCGTCACTCAGTTCCCAGGGACCCACCAGGCAGACGTATGCATCCAGGTTCTGCTCCTCAGCAGAATTTCTGGCAGTTGGTCTGCCATTAACTCAGGTATATTTTTTGCTCCCATGAGGTTATCGGTGGGCTCATTGGTCCAGGGGGTGGAATGACAGAAAACAAAGTGATTCTATGGGGCAAGGTGACAGCGCGGAAGGAGAGTGACAAAAACTCTCATGCTCACCCCAGCTGGGGAGCTCAGTTGGTTGGAGTGTCATCCCACCCACCAGAAGGTGGTGGGTTCGATCCCCAGTCAAGGCTCATACAAGAAACAACCAATAAATGCACCAAGAAGTAGAGCAACAGATCAGTGTTTCTCCTCTCCGCCCCACCCCTCAAATCAGTAAATACATTTTAAAAAAGAGAAAAAAAAAAGCAAACGGAGAGAGAATTTTACGAGGGAGTATGAGCTCTAGGAGGCATGTGACATGTGGCAGGTCCCTCCTCCTGACATTCCCAGCTCCCACTCCGAGACAGGCACACGCCATTGGCAAAGCTGCCAGGTCCTCACTCACGGGGAGGCGCGTGGACTCACATCAGCCTCTGGAGAGCGCAGGTGAAGAGCTTTAAGCCTCGACACAGCAGCATCACGCCTTCTGTCCCCAGGTTGTTGGTCGACAGGTCCAGGTGGGTCAAGTTCTGGTTGCTGACAAGGACGGAGGCCAGATCCCGGCAGGCGGCAGCTGTGAGGCCGCAGCTCCCCAGTCTGCAAGGACATCCCCAGGCAGTAGGTCAGTTATTTAGGTATCAAAGAGGAGCTCACGCCTTGGCTGTGTGACCTTAGACAAGAGACCTCCCCTCTGCTGGACTCCGCATCCTCTGTCAGCAAACGGCACGGAAACAATTCCTTCCAGGTGGGTCGTTTGTGAAGATGGTGCGAATGGGAACAGAGCGCTTACCCCAGGCGGCAGCTCTAACCGCACTGCTGAAACTTTCAAGTACACAACACGGTCTTGTCCCCTGTCATCACCATGCTGTACCTTAGATCCCTGGAACTCATTCTCCTGATAACTGGAAGTTTGTGCCCTGGGATGCACATTTCCCCATGTTCTCCCTCCCCCACCCCAGCCCCTGGTAACCGTCTACTCCCTGACTCTACAAGTTTAGCTCTGCTCAATTTTTTAAAGATTTTTAATTGATTTTTTAGAGGGAGAGGGAGAGAGAGAGAGAAACATTGATTGGTGAGAGTGGAACATTGATCTGCTGCCTCCTGCATGTCCCCTACCAGGGGTCAAGCCCACAACCTGGGTACCTGCCCTGACTGGGAATCAAACCGACAACCTTTTGGTGCACCGGACGAAGCCCAACCAACTGAGCTACACAGGCCAGGGTTCTGCTCAATCTTTCACATACGGTCAGAGTTCAGTGGCAAAGACGCGGGTATTATTTATCGGGCCTTTCTCGAACCTCAACATGAGGTCACAGTACCCACTCTAACCCTTGGCTTATGCAGCAGCCGATTCCCCTCCCCACCCCGGGTACTTGGCTGACCTCAGTTAAGACAAGATAAGGGCCGTGAAAGGAAGCGCCACTCACATCAGCTTCTGCAGGGCGCACTGGGAGACCTTCAGGGCCTCGCAGAGAGACGCGACGCCCACGTCCTTCACCTTGTTTCCCGCGAGGCTCAGGGATTTCAGCTTGCTGGATGTCACCAGGATTTGGGAGATCACCGGACAGCAGGTGTGGCTTAACGCACAGTAATCCAGCCTACAGACACAGAGAATGTGACACACACACGGCCTGTGCGCCAGCCTCTTGGTCACGCTGCGTCCTGGTTACTGTGTGTGGCCTCGGAGTCTGAGCTGCTTCTGCCCCTCCGTTTGCAACATCCCTGCTCATCCCAACCCCAGGTCTTTATGCAGCTCAAGCCATGGCTCAGGTCTCCTGCCCGCCTCACCCCACCCTTCTCTCTCTAGCGTTTTTTTTTTTTTAAAGATTTAAAAGTACATATATATATATTTTAAAAATAAAATAAAAATTTATTGATTTCAGAGAGAGGAAGGGGGGAGAGAGAGGAACATCAATGACCAGTCATTGATCAGCTGCCTCCTGCGTGCCCCCTGCTGGGGACTGAGACCACAGCCCCGGCTTGTTCCCTGACCAGGAATCGAACTGCGATCGCCTGGATCACAGGGCGATGCTCAATCACTGAGCCACCCCGCCCAGGCGTAAAAATTGATTTTCAGAGAGAGGAAGGGAGGAAAGAGAGAAGCATTGATGCGAGAGAGAAACATCCATTGGTTGCCTCCCACAAGGGCCCCAACGGTCCAAGGATGGAACCTGCAACCCAGGTACATGCCCTTGACCGGGCTTCGAACCCACGACCCTTTGGTGGACAGGCCGAGGCTGTAACCGTGGAGCCGCTGGGCTGGGCTGGGCCCCCCGCCCCCCAGTCCACAGGCGAGGGGTCCCCACAGCATTCGTCTTTCGCTGTCTGCCGTGGCTCACGCAGCACGATGCCCTCGAGGCCCCCGGGGTTCCCTCCGCTCTGGAGGCCGAGGGAGACCTTGCACCCCGCACCCCGCTCCCCGACGGGGCGGAGCTGTGCCTGCTTCCGCGCGCACGCGGGGCTGGACTACATTTCCCAGCCTGCCTTGCAGCGGGCGCGGCCACGTGACGTGCAGCCGGGGAGCGTGTGGGCGGGGACGGGAACCGTCCTGCTACAAAGTGACAAGTTACAGGGACGGCAAACGTGCGTGATGGGCGGGGGTGGAGGCGGCGATGGACTGCTGCCCCCCCCCATATCCTAGGGTGGGGGTTAAAGTACCAAACACACAGAAGCGCGCGGGGACCTGCCTCAGAGTCCGCAGCCCGCAGCGGGGGTGCGTCAGCGCGGCGCACGCGGCGCCCACGTCGCGGTCGGTGAGGGGCGCGGCCAAGGCC